ACTGTACTGAATTACAAAACAAGATTAAGAACCTAATGGAGATGACTCTAACATTTAATGGTTTAAATTATGCAGTAAAAACTGCACAATGCTTTTTTTTTTTTTGTTTATTTTACTATGATGGTGTCATGTTCAACGATACATTCCTTTTGTTTGGTTCTGATGTTTAGTTTTCTATGTATGAAAACCAAGTTTTACAGAGATTAAAAGGAGGATTTCAATGGGAGAACAACCGGGGTTTATGCGGAACAGGCTTTCCGGGATTGAGAGCATGCACTTCCTTTGATAAGATGAACATGAACGTCAACGAGGTCGAACCTTTCAAAACAGATACAGTAAATCGCACCACTCCAGGAGATCCCCACCGAACACCTGACTTCCCAGTGAATTGCAACGGCAGCCATTGCTCAAGTCATTCCAAAATTCGCCTAATCCCTGTTGTTGTTGGGGTTATTACTCTTGGTATTGTATTGATAGGTGCTGCATTTTTTGCTTTCTTTACCTACCGCCGGAGGAAACAAAAGATTGCAGGTACTGTATCTGATTTTTTTGATGGGAGCATGAGCACTGAACAGGCTAAGGAATTGCACAGAAATGGTAGTGTTTCACCACTTGTAACTCTTGAATATTCCTACGGTTGGGATCCATTGGGTGATGGCTTGAATGGGATTGGATTTTGTCAAGAGGATTTGAATGAATTCAGGTTCAACATAGAAGAAGTTGAGTCTGCAACACATTGCTTCTCGGAGGCAAATTTGCTTGGAAGGAGCAAGTTTTCATCTGTACATAGAGGAGTTCTCAGGGATGGTTCCCTGGTAGCTGTTAGAAGTATAAATGTGACCAGTTGCAAATCTGAGGAGGCAGAGTTTGTGAAGGGACTGAACTTGTTAACCTCATTGCGACATGAAAATATTGCTAAGCTAAGAGGGTTCTGTTGCTCAAGGGACAGAGGTGAATGTTTTCTCATCTATGACTTTGCTCCTAATGGAAACCTTTCAAAATTTCTCGACATTGAAGATGAAAACACTCAAGTTCTTGACTGGTCCACCAGGATTAACATTATCAATGGCATCGCAAAAGGTTTGGTTTTTCTTTAGTATCATTAATTCTGTAGAAGTTTTTATTCAATTTAGTTTCCATTGGCATTCTGAAAATGTTCTTGTTTCTGAATCAGGTATTGAGTATTTGCATAACAGCCAAGCAAACAAGCCTTCAATAGTCCACCAGAACATTTCTGTGGAGAAAGTTCTGATAGACCAGCAATTCAACCCTTTGATTGCAGACTCTGGTCTTCATAAGCTTCTTGCCGATGATATTATGTTTTCAGCTCTGAAAACCAGTGCTGCAATGGGCTACCTAGCGCCAGAGTACATCACCACGGGCCGTTTTACAGAGAAGACTGATATATTTGCTTTTGGAGTCATCATTCTCCAAATCCTCTCTGGCAAACTGCTACTCACAAGCTCGATTCGATCTGCTGCCGAGTCTTGCAGATTTGAAGATTATATCGACTCAAATTTGGCAGGGAAATTTTCTGAGTCTGTTGCAGCTAAGTTAGGAAAGCTTGCCCTGGTCTGCGCTGATGAGTCCCCAAGCCAAAGACCGACCATTCAGGAAATAATTCAAGAGCTAAATCATTGCAGCATAAGTTCTTGAAAGAAGAAAAAGAGACATGAGCAGATGAGCTTAGTTTGAGTTATTGTCACTTGCTAAAGTTTGTTTTAACAGAGACAAAGGAGATTGAAATTTTCAAAGCTTGAGCTGCATACTGTAGAGTTGTAGATAGGAAATTTTAGTAAAAAGCAATTTCCCCAACAATGTTAAAGCTGGCACAAGGCGAAAAACCATTGGAATACAGCATTCTCCAGGACAACTGCTTTTATTTCCTTTAATTAAGAAAATACAAATTAGCAGTTCTAAACTGTGGGGTGCCAGCAGGCGCAGCACTGGCAGCGAAAGAGAACAAACAGATACATTTTTCATGAAAGACATGGCATCCTATGCAACTGCACTGTGTTGTTGATGCTCTTGAAACCAGTCAGAAGGCCACCATTCTGGTCTTCTCGTCTCAACCTTAACATCTTCCTGTCCTTGTATGATCAATGAACTGGATGCTTTAAAGGCTTCATCCAACCTTAAAACACCCATTCCAAGACAGCCAAGTGCAGTAGTCACAGTACCTACCTTCTTCCTAGAGGCAGTGTCAATCACTTCAGAACCAGGAGCAACTTTCTCCTCTGCTTCTGGAAGAATAGAATGATAAACTTTAAGTTATCTGTGCTCTATTGAGACCACTAAACTAATTAAGGCTGAATGAAGGGAAAAGAACCTTTTCCATTATTATCAAGAAATTTTAATGGCAGCAAGCGCTTGCGAATAACCCCTCGGTGGTGAGTACGAGCTATGAGTTCTTGGCCAACGTAGCATCCTTTGTCAAAGCTAATTGCATTTAGACCTACAAAATTGTATTCCAGGGGAATTGCCTCGCCTAGGCAGGATATGGTAAGTTAATTTTCAGCATCATGGCCAGATATATGGAGCCAATCTGTAAAAAGGAAAACTATCCCATCAACCGAAATACAAAAACGAACCTTTTGAAATTTCAGTAGAGCCTTCTGCGACTCCCTTCTCTAATCTCCATAGAAGATAATTCTCTTCATCCGTTTCTTTATCAGCCTCAACTAAAGGTGCTGCAAGAGAAAACAAGGCAAATTTGCAACTTTGTCGATTAGAAGTGCAACCAAGGATATCCATTGTTGATTGTAAGACTATGATTTTTGGCTCACAACATAAATGAAGATAATTCAGAGGGAAAGTTCCAGAAACTCACGTGTTGTACCAGAAGGAAAAATCCCCCTAAAACCAAGACAATCCAATCTAGGATCCTTATGCCAATGCCACCCAGGCGTACTACCATGTGAAGCTGATTCACCAGAACGATCAACACCTGCACCCCAGCCAACAGAAGCAGCCTCTGGTTCTTCAGCAACTGAAGACTTCTCAGACAGCTTCCCACCATAGCACTGCCAGCAAGAGAAGTCTTCTGCAACATTATCGATCTCAACTTTTGACCTTAACCGGTATCTGTAACACAATATAGAAACAAAAGTTATCAAGAATTTTACAGTTTATACTGCCATCAAAAAACAGCATACAGCTGAAGGAGCATATGCACAAGTGCTGAGTGTCACTTCCAAAAGAATATTATCCAAGCTGGATCATTTTCACAATTTTTTTGTTCAACAAATTACTTCCAAAATAAAACCGCAACATTGCAACAATACCCATTCTGCATAAATCCAAGGACAGATTTTGATCCAAGAAGCAAGAAAAGGATAAACCTTTCAAGCATGTATACTTCAGAACAGTCCATCTCTCATATTTCTCAGTTTATAAGCCTCACATTGATTCAGACATGTTCTAGAGAAATAACTAATTCAAAGGTTGCCAATTGAAGCTAAAGATCCCAACTTTCACACCTTGGCACATAAATTGACATAACAAATGCCAATTACAGCCAACCATATAAGCAAAATATCATCTCCACTTACAAATTAAAGCGAGATAAAATTCCAATATGCCAAATTAAAATCAACTCCTCTTTCTTATGCTTCATCATTTTACAAGCATAAATGGGAACCCAAAATACCCACCTCTTGAAAATCTGCAACAACTCATCCAATACCGACCTGTCCACATCCGCAAACAACTCCACCGACTCATCCGAACCTGAACCAGGACCCGAACCTCTTGGGTCGAGCTTCTCCACGGGCCGCGGCGGCTTATACAAGAACAAGTCATACAGGAACCTGCCCTGAGGTGTCAAGAGAGCCGCATACATAGGAGAAAGGGAAACAGATGGCATGTTGGGCGTTGGAACAGTATTGAGTTTCTCATCCGGGTGTTCCCCAAACCTCCGCACATCGTTTGTCAACAGACCCTGGAGAAATTTAATAGTGTCCGGTCCGGCGAAGCGGATCACGGAGCGGGAACTGAGGAGGGAGCAGAGAGGTCCGGCGTTTTGGAGGTGGGTGTCGTGGTGAAGAGAGCGGTGAATGAAGAGGAGGGGTTTTAGAGAGTGAAGAGACGGCTTGAAACGCTGCATTTCTCCGGTGTCAGGGTGAAGACCGGCGGGGGGAGAAAAGGGTGGGGTTACTGTGTTATGGACGTACGGTGGTGGCGTGGATGACTTAGTTGGATGCCACGTGAGTCGTTTGATGCAGAACTCGTGACACGTGAAGTAAAACTGATATATCACTCCTTGGGCCTTGAGGCGCAGTGCGTTTTATTCCATCTAATTGGGCCTGAGATTTTGTGTTGCTGGCCGAAAATCTAACTGGGCCTGAGGAAGTACAGAAGCAGAACGCAATTGCTATGCCTTAAGCTAACCAGCCTTCATGCCAAGTCCCAATCCAAAAGTAAAGGGCCATTTTTTATTGGCATGAGGTAATTTTTTTTTTTTTTTTAAGAAAAAAGACACATCATAGAAAGTGTGCCATGGTTAACGGCCATACATAATATTAAGATAACACAAAATATTATAATTCTGTTTAATTTATTTAATTTTATTAATTTATGATTAGTTTGAGTATCAAAAATATTAATTTATAACTTGATTTTAAACAATTAAGCCATAAATATTAATTGTTTTATCAATTTTCAACTAATGATAATTTTTATTAATTATTTTTAATGATCAAAATAAATACAATTATAATCTTTTTGTGTAGCCTTAATAATATTTTATGTGACCATAACAATGGTAAAGAAAAAATGGTGGGCTATGAAATTTTTAAAAAAATATTTTTTGTCTCCATTTTCCAATATCTTGAGACCGTACTTTTATTTAACATTTCTTTTGTTTATTTTTAATTAATTTAATTTAATTTTTTAATTTTT